CAAATCGGGAAGAAAGAAAAAAACTATTACTTAGATCAAATTATTATTTTGTTTACCACAATGAACATTTTTTTCATTATTATATTTGTTAACAAAAATACAAACAAACTGAAGGAAGGGGAAGAAGATTGATGTCGAACAACTATGCATCCTCCTGATTTTTTTGTGTGAAATCTAAGTCTTTTAGTCTCAAAACTAGGTGTTGTGGTCTTTTTTTATGTATTGCGTTATGACGTTTGAAAAAATTTGTACGCGATGATGGAAAATGGATATCATTTTCAGATTCAGCGTACATTAGTGTAGAACGTGTAGAAATATCAATACAATAAAACCATATATATATTAGTAGCTAATGCACTTTCGTAAACAAAAAATTGATTAAGCTTACCAAAGCATATGGAAAAGACCTAGATATGTAAATATATATATATATGTATTCCGAAACCGAGTTATAAATATAATCCACCAATCTTAGTACTAATCCACTTGAAGAAGCAAAGCAAAAATAAAAAGTCCATAATGCTCTACTGTTTGTAGCCCATCTATTAACAGATTGGAGATAGTGTACTTAGCTTTATTCTTCGTCTGTATGTGGCCCCAGTGATTCAGCAGTAAGTCGGAAGACTTATAACGCTAAAAACGGGGTTTTGATACCCGTGGTAGACACAGCATAGATAGCCTATTATGTAGCATTGGGGTTAACTACAGATAAACAAACAAAATAAGAATAAATTGTCTGTATATATATGTGCCTGTGTTTACTTTAGTTTTTATCAATGTTTACTCAGTATGGTATAGTGATAGTATAGAAGCTATTTTCTTGTGGATGTCTTCTTATTTCTTAAAGCAACCATAACTAGAGATAACGTTCAATACAGGCATAGTCAGTGGTGGAAATTATAGCAGAAAAAACATATCAGTCTTTACACAGACACAAGCAAACATGTATATATACCATCGAGTGGAATTACATATGTATATTACCCATATACATATAAACTAGATATTCTCGAGCAAAGTTTGAATGATACAGCTAATTTTTTTTATATTTCTAGTAGAGATTAAAGTGTCTGAAACTGTGATCTTTTAAGTCCGTATTTTATAGTTTTGCGTCTCGAATAGCGATTATACGCTGTCTGAAAATGTGAATTACTAACTTTTTATTAAATTAGTGTTGTGTCGCAAACAGCAATTAAGCAGCGCCTAAAAGTGTGAACTATTCTCTTTTTCTAAAACTCGTGTTGCGTCGCGAACATATTAAGTAGTGTCTAAGGGTGTGAACCGCTAAAGTTTTCTAAAACTTGTGTTGCGTCGCAAACAATGATTAAACAGTGTTTGAAGGTGTGTCTGTTTGTTTGAAGTTAAGCACAAAGCTACACAATGGGTTATCTGTGCTCTGCCCACCACGGGTACCATAACCCGGTTTCTAGCGTTGTAAGCCCTCAGACATGCTGCTGTGCAACTGGGGGGCGTTTGAAGGTGTGAACTTCTAACGTTTCCTAATACTTGAGTATCGTCACGAACACTGGTTAAAAAAGTGTTCGAAGGTGTGAACTTCTAACTTTTTCTAAAACTTGTATTGATAGGAAACAGTAATTAAACAGTACCTAAAGGCGTGGGCTACTAACTTCTTTTTTTAAGCCACTGTTGCGTTACGAATGGTGATTAAACAAAGTCTGATAGTTTGAGAAAATTGCATTTTTTTTCTTCACAAGCTTATGAGTAACAAAACGCATCTATATACGTAAAAACCAAAACAAAACTATGACCTTCATACCCAGGAAAGGTCGGAAATGACAGTTTATGAAGGTTTTGCGAGTTCAATAGAACCAATACCCGAGTACATGTTGCCATAGTTTATCCTACTAACGGAAATGACAGTTTATGAAGGTTTTGCTAGTTCAATAGAACCAATACCCGAGTACATGTTGCCATAGTTTATCCTACTAATAAGGTCAGTTACCCTTCCTCCTAGTTCATGGGATTATGGAGTGTTCATGATATTTTCATTAACACAATTGAAACGGAAGCTTTTCATTTAGTTCCCTACAAGAGATTTCTTTGGAGGATCCGAATAACTTTCTTATGACACTTCTCCAGGTTTCACAGTGTTACAGGCAAGTTACAGTAAATGGTATAACAGATGATTTACTGTGTTTGTGAAACGGCTATAAATATATTATACATTGTTAATACCTTTAGAAGTGATATTACAAGGAGGTAAATTCAAAGTGTAGTATGCTCCACTCTTTACAACTTAAGTTATATTTTTCGACTGCTAAACCAATCAGAAAATGCTATAGTATATGCTATCTACTGCTTCTCCTCCCTAAATTTTCTTATCTGAAAAAAACAATATCAGTGTATTAAATGCATTCTAACGGCAAGATTTAGTGAAAAATGGTAATACAGATACCGCTCAAGAAACGTAAAACGTTCACACTTTACAAACAAAATTAAGAATTAAAAGCACAATAAATGTTTTGAAGGGTAACACGGTTGATAGAACAGCCGCTTGACTTTTCCCAAGGACGTTGTGCTTTTGGCCACATGGAGGCACTAGCAGTCTAGCAGCTGTGTGGCGGAAGTCGTACATTGTAGATTCCTTAGTTCGTGTCAGTGCACGAGATCATATAACCTAGAGGGCGCGCATCTCCCAAGAATTTCGTGTTCATTGTTTTTGTTTTTTCAGTTTATTTTCATTCACCAGTCAAAGCGCTTTTATTACGTGAACAACTTTTACTGTGATACGTTTATCAACGATAAGAAATAGCTATAAACTTTCGCAAGGTTGTTCGAAGTTAAAGAGTGAAAAGCTATTGTTAATTTATAAGATGTGAGTATAGCAAACTTAATACTGAATAGAAGGTAAAAAAAAGAAGTAACTCAAGTTAAGATGTGCTACAAAAAGGAGACCACGAGTTTGTCTAGGAAGCAGTATTTAGGAATTTCTTTTCCAGTATTACTTGTAACGTATTTTTGCTTCTATCTCGTGTCAGAAGCGAGTGCCAATGACTTAGCTTGTTCTTTCGTTAAGTATGCGTATTCAGCGAAAGGATTCGACGACAATGATGTGCCAAGAAAAGCAATACTCGGTAAGTTTATTATTTTTCTTTTATTTCAATTATCATTCATCTGGTAAATCATCATTTAAAACAACAATGGTTTGTGCACGTGAAACTTATTCATTCTGACGAATAGTCAGACAAAATTGTTGACCGGCGCGTGAAATTACCTGATCACAACTAGGACATTAACACCAGTAACAGTATCGCTATCTGTAACAAAATACCCTTATCTAAGAAAATTACACTAATTTTGGTAACTCGATTTCTATCTTATTGGTAGAAATAAGTTTAAATTGCTACTTACCGATGCTGGCGAAGGAGTACAGGAATTAAATGTATTATAGAATTGAAAATACTTGTCTTCTGATTAAACCAAATACGAGTTTGCAGACCTAGTCTTCTTAATCAAGAACAGGAAACCCACGGCTGAGATTGATAACATATTTAATATTCGGACGTTTCGAGATATAAATATCATCAGTGATGGTAACAATTCATACACATTGCGATGTATTGTTTTCAATAGATACATTGAAGTAATGGAATAGAATGAAAGGAAGGATACACGTAACATAATGATAAATATTTCAAACGAAACTTAAACAAAAATAGTGGATATTAACAGACTTTATTTTATAACCAATTCCTGGTTAGATGAGCCTGATGCTAAAAATTATGAAGTTATTTACAGATATTTCAAGTTTTTACTATTCCCCGTGTAGCTGTATAGGAGAGGGAGACGGATTTATGAGTTTTTGACCAATTCTATATGATATTCACATATGTTCACAAACATGTATTTTTTTTAATTGGTGTTTTGTCTTGCCAATATAGCTGGCTCTGCACTTACCACAAGTATATTCACAAACGACTGCAGTCTTTGTTAATCCTTGCAACAAGAATAACACCATACTCGAGGTACAACGTTATTTTTGTTACACAAAAACCGTTAAAATAGGGAGAAAAATTTGTATTAAAACAACTTTTCTGCGATTTATGTAAAACAAGCAAACGAAATAGAATGTTTTTTCTTTCCTTGTATATAGTGATAGACAACCAATATCTTTAAACATTGCAGCAATAGGTAGCTGTCTGTTTTAACACAATTATAAATACTAGATCTAGTATCAACACATTTAGAAATACTAGATCTAGTATCAACACATTTAGAAATACTAGATCTAGTATCAACACATTTAGAAGTCAAATAAATCTAGTATCAACACATTCAGAAGTCAAGTAAATCTAGTATCAACACATTTAGAAATCAACTAGATCTAGTATCAACACATTTAGAAGTCAACTAGATCTAGTATCAACACATTTAGAAGTCAACTAGATCTAATATCAACGCATTTTGAAGTCAACTACATCTAGTATTAACATATTTAGAAATCAACTAGATCTAGTATCAACACATTTAGAAATACTAGATCTAGTATCAACACATTTAGAAGTCAACTAAATCTAGTATCAACACATTTAGAAATCAATTAGATCTAGTATCAACACGTTTAAAATTCCCACAACCCCGGCAGTTACAGAAATATTAGCTTACAGATCTTTGCTTTTTACACGTGATCATAAAGCTTTACAAAACGAGACTAGCCAACGAAAAATGTAGAATGTGTGTGCTAGTATTCTGTCGAAAAATAGCTGAATGGAAGATCAACCAGAGATTTTCAAATAGAGCAACGTTTTCATTCTTAATCTTAACATAATTTGCCTTTATGTTTCAGTTTCAACATTAACTCCCCAACACATGTATTGTTTCTGTAAGCTATCTCCTTCAACTATCAAGTCACATTTCTTTGTTTAGATGAACACATAGACAAGGGAGCTTAGACTAATATCTATACAAATCCAAGAAGCAGACGGTAATTAAACAAATTTTGTGAGATGTGTTCACCGCATGCCATGTTTCCGCCATGTTCTGTTGGTGATGAAGAAAAACAAGTTGAACAAATCTAACAATACTTTTGCTGTAATTTAGAATTTGCTGTTTCGTCCTTACTATTATATTATGAATACTGAATTAATAAAATTCAACTATTAACATGCTAAAACCTGCTAAATTGTAAAAACTAATTTTACGTAACAGGGGAATGACTAAGAGAAACTTCAAAATTCATTAACCTTTCTACACTGGTTAAATTTCCTTTTGACATTTACTCACTTTTTTTGTCACAGCAAACTCTATTTGTATATTATTCACCATTGAAAACGTGCAAAGAAATGGTACTTGTTCCCCATTGTGTAACTGTTAATAAAGCGCTTCTATTAGTAAATATGTGCTTTAGATAATAATTGTTGCCATAAGTTCATATACAATTGAATCACAGCACTATAGTATATTAATTTTAACAAAGTTTATGTTTAAATAATTAGATGTACTTCCGCAGGGTCCCCGAAAGTGTTCTGCTTCAAGCGTAAACACAACCAAAATTAAAAGTAACAAATATTTCTATTTCTTGCTTTTAAGTTCATATGTCATGCTGTGTTGTAGCCTACGGATTGCATAATTCTTCTCGTGATTCATGGCATGTGCACGTTTTGGTGACGTTATGACAGTAAAAATTGCAATGTTAAGCATCTCTTATGTGACGTCATTTTAGCGTCTACTGACTGACTAACGGACAACACACTATTGTACTGTAACGCGAGTGGTTAAAATAAATGATCCCTCCAAGCGGCCTTCGGTCCCCTATCGGGGAAATTATACCCGTAGACAGAGCCGTGGATACTAACTTATACATATGATGTCTATCGTTTACCCTTGAGTTAAATTTTACAAACATTTATTAAAAACGTACGAGTAGGTCTATTATGAAGGTTGAAACAGCTATTTGGGGGATAACAGATGTATTTTTGTACAACGTTTCGTCTCTGACAATGAGACATAATCACGTACAACATGTACGTGATCATGTCTTACCGTTAAAGACGAAACGTTGTATAAAGATACCTTCATGTTGTTCGTAAGTTAAGTGGATACATCTCAGTAAGCAAGTAATAGATCTGTTGTTATTTTGGACGAGATGGAAACATGACTAATGTTAAGTATTAATTAAAGTACATTATTTATCACTATTAACAGTAAAATTACATTATAAATTATTTGTCAAAAATCCGCTTTTACAAGACTTGAGGTGTTTTTCAGTTTTGCAATATATATATATATAATTTGTACATTCTCAGTTTTATTTTTCTTTATTAATACAATATTTAATTAAACTTGAAGCAACTATTGTTGACTCTATTAACTTCCTTCTAGCATAGTTGACATTTTCCTTGTAAATAATGGGGTTGACTACCTACAGCATAGATACAGCTGGTATGTGCCTCGAGGTTGGCCCCTTATTCTAAAATTTTACTTTGTCTGTGTGCCTTTCTTGAACATTCTTTTCTAATCCGCATGGTCAGCATGGTCACTTCCCCAGGTGGGCCTGGCCACACCAGTTTAGTGAGGAGTCCCAGTTACATAGTTCGCATGTAGATGTACGTATTGAATTAGCTTGAGGGGTTTGGGTTCCTTCATGGTTTTGTTGCTAGGCTATCAAGCCCCTTATTTAGAAGAAATATGACGCTGTTGCCACAAGGGACTGGCAAAATATGTAGGAAGCGTTAGATTAAGGGCTCACATTGCGGTTGTTAATCCGTTGTTACGGGTCACCACTAGAATGTTGTTAAAACATCCAACGAAAAGTTACTTTAAAAGTTTCCAGATTAAAAAAGCGAAAGAGCTTAGCCTGTTTTATGAATGGCAATGATAGGATGCTGGTCCCTGAAAGATATAGATTATTTCATTCGATGTTGTCTTCTTCCAGAATAAAATGCAAGCCTTCCTGCTGATGTAAAATGCAGATAACAAATGCCAAGGATGTTTGACGAAATACTTTGACTGTTTCGGACCTCTAGTTCGAGACCACTAAATATATTCTGCCATGAAGTGTTATCTTAACTGTCTATGATAATCTGTCTATTCAAAAGCTTGCTTAAAGATGTATGATAGAACAACCTGACAAATTATAATTTATTTATCTTATGGTTTCAAAGTTAATTCTATCATAAGAAAAATTACTTGCAGAAGTAATACAAAATAATAGTAAACCATGCAATTAAAGAGTACAATATTCCGTAAAACTCAACAAAGTATAAAGATGAACACAACTCGCGTATTTCAAACTAAATAGTACTTGTAAGAGCCTCTTTACACTGTATGAGAATAATTGCAGTTAACGAATCATATACAAATCCTTTTATTAACATTTACTGTTTGCACCAAATATTTTGTTTATTTCTATAAAACAAATATACATTTGAGTTTTGATAAAGGTTTGATACTCAGTTTATTCCAGTATGGAAACGTTCGACTCATCTCGTTTAAAGATATGAAATCTTAATTCACGAGTATTCAATTTAGTCTTCTGTGGTGTGAAAACATTTTAGCAGTCAACATAAATTTGATAACCTTGCAGAAATGTTAAGTAGTTTTTTGTTTTTATTCTGGAATAATTCTGGGCTTCAAAATCATTTTATTACAACAAATAAATTGCTGTTTATGGTCTTAGTACCAAATTTATTCAACATCTGGATCTGTAGATATGAAGATGTTCGTAATTTTATCTTTAAAATTTGTAACGAAAACAAAATGGCAGTTTTTGGCGAATTGAACAATAGATTTATATGAGTCTGGTGAAATATGATACGGAAGTTAATACTTTTTAATTGGATTTTCTTTTGACTTGATCTATATAACAGTTAAATAACATTGCTGCAAACACGAGTTGGCCTTTTTCAAGCCGTGTAAATAGACTTATTATTCAAAATATTATTTTCAAACAACTGTGCCCTTTGAAAAGTAAAATACCCTCAAATATTTATATTGTTTGTTTGTGGTTTAAGTAGATGACTTATAACCTTTTTCACTATCTTTATTTACTACCGTATTATCGAAAATCTCTACTGGAACACTTATGACTTGTATTTAGTTAACCGAAATGATACCACGTTCATTTTAAGAAGAA